CCTCTCGATCGCCATTTTGAGTTGTGCACATTCCTCCGTAGTATGCCCTCTGTCCTTGTGGAATCGACAATAACGACCCGACTTTTCTCGCTTTGTGTTTGGTTGCATAGGACGTGGAGGTTCTGCTAAACCTTTCTGTTCTATCACGTGAAGGATTTCCGTGAGGCGAGTGTTTAGCGGAGTGAACCTATTGTAGGAGGAAGAGGGTTGGCCTTGAGGTGGAAGTGGTGGACGTCGATCATCGCGCCTCCTATTGTCTTGACGGTCATCTTCCCTTTTCCTTTTAGGAGGAGCATGGGTAGAGGCTTCCTCTATCCGGACGTATTTTTCGGCTCGATTCAGTAACTCCTCTAAGTTGCCTGGGGGTCTTCCGGCAATAGATTCCTTGAATCTGCCCGGTTTTAAGTTCTGTTGCATAATCCCGGAGAGCATGTCTTGCCCCACACTGGGGACTTCATGGACGGCTTCTACGAAACGTTTGATGTAGTTGCGGAGCGTTTCGTTATCTCTCTGTACTACTGAGAAGAGATGAGCTGGGGTTTTGGCATATTGTTTGTTGATAGCGAATTGCTTGGTGAATCGGGTTGACAGTCGAGCGAAGGTGTCAATCGACCCTATGGGTAGGGAGTTGAACCAGTTCATCGCTCTCTTGGAGAGAGTGGTACGGAACATTTTGCACATAGCAGCATCCGTCGGGCCATATAAATCCGCCATGGCACTGAATTTCTCTATATGTTCCTGTGGGTCGGTGGTTCCTTCGAATTGAGGTAACCCCGAGATCTTTACTCCTTGAGGTAGTACCTCGTTGAGGATGTCTATGGTGAAGGGACTGCGTCTTGCTGGGAGAGGCATCCTCTCACCCATCTGATTATTTGGTTGGGAGAAAAGGTTTTGGCGAGACATTCGGCTGTTTACTTCGCCTTCTCCCTCATTAAAGAAAGGGACTCTCCGTGGTGACGCATTCCCCCTTGGGGGTGAGCGCTGACGCTGCTGTCTGGGCTGTGCCCCTCGGTGGTTGGTAGATAATTGCACTCGGGATCGTGGATCCGAGGTAGAGGAGGAGACACTTATTTGATTCGGTATTGGCTGTGGGGCCACGGGTGGCGCTACAGGTGGAGCTGGCGCTGGTATCGCATTGGGAGTGTTCGCTCCCATCGTGGCGATATATTGAGTTATGGCCTCCGCGGCGGCACGAGTAGAAGCTTCCGCTATCATACGTTGGAGCGCGTCCTCGGTTATTTGAACCGTTCGAGGAGCAGGGAGTGGTGGATCGGCGAGTGGTGGGTCCCGAGGGGGGATCACCTGAACCTCGCGAGGGGGATCTGCAGCACGTGGAGGAAGTGGCTCCGCGGCGCGTGGAGGAGGTGGGATGCCAGATCCTCCACGAGCGGGGAGGTTATTAGCTGTGTCGTTTTCTCTCCGAGCTGACGCCTCAGGAGGATCTTGTTGGCTACGTGATCTGGTTTGCATCGTTCCCACAGACGGCGCCAAAATGATGATGCTAAGATTTAGCTCACCTAGGATAATGTAGAAAACGAGCTGGGAGAGCAAAGCTGATCAGTAGCTAGTCAATTCGATGCTCCTGAGGTCCCTGCGAAAATAGCACACGTGAACTAAGCCGGGGGTTGATCCGGCGGAAACCCCTCCGACGCTCAAGTCAGACGTACGGATCGTAGAGAGAGTAGAGAGAATAAAACTCGAGATGAATTGTCAATAATGAGAACGTACCTTTACAAATGAATAAAACTTCTATTTATATGTCGTTGATTGAGTTGGGCTTATTTTGTTGGGCCCAAGCCTTACTTTGAAGGTGCTTGGGCTTTCGTGTAATGGGCCCGAACACTTTCGTGTATTGGGCCTAATTATTAAATAAATTGGGGCCCATTGGGTCGGCCCAATTAGGTATATCATATATATATATCCAAATTAAAAATTGCAACTGCAGGTTCGTGCATGGACCTGACATAAGAAGATCTTGAGATCATATAATTAAGGAGTCTATGTAAAAATTCTGTGCCGTTCGAATTAATCTGCTGCTGCTACTGCTGCTGCTGGTCCCTGTTGTACTTTCCATATTTACTTACTACATAGGTTGTCTCAGCAGAGTACAATTAATTATATGGTTCAGAAACACTTATCTCCCAAATTTCAAATTTCTTGTTTCGATTGTCAACAAGATTCATACATATCTTCATTTTTTTATTACATATATTTACATTTGATGTGATGAACACTTGAAAAAACTTGGACATTGAAGAAATATTATTGACAAATTGAATCTCACACACACACACACACACACACACACACACACACACACACACACACACACACACACACACACACACACACACACACACACACACACACAGTTTTGAATTTAATATTACTCCGAAGCAACTCCATCATGAGCATATCACATTGGTAAAGTAGGAGGAATATAAATTGAGAGATACAAGTTCGAACCCCCAATCAACATCTTTCATATATTTAAGGGTAAATTTCACTTTACCCCATTTACTATGCCTAAGAATCACTTTACCCCCTCGTACTCTTAATTTCGTCGATTTACCCCCTTGTACTCGTACAATTTCCCAATACAACCCTCTTCGTCAACTTTTTTCGATTTTGACTCTGACGCCATTTGGTCAAGAGTCAAAATATTGACGTAAATATTGAATTTTTTCGATTTTGACTCTCGAGATTAGAAAAGAGAAAGTTTCACACATTCATATATTTTTTTCTTTGCACTGGGTGGAATCAATCAATTTTTTGGTCTTGATTTTTACTAAGTTAGGGGTTCAATTTGGGGATATCTTGGAAGGGGAAGTGGTGGGAGACGAAGAAATGACAATATTGACGGAGGAGAAACGACGCGTTATAGGCAGTGGCAATTTTGTAATTTACAGAGTTGACCAAATGGCGTTAGAGTCAAAATTGACAAAAAAAAGTGAAGGAAAGGATTGTATTGGGAAATTGTACAAGTATAAGGGGGTAAATCGATAAAATTGAGAGTACGAGGGAGTAAAGTAACTCTCAGGCAGAATACGAGAGGGTAAAGTGGAATTTACCCTATATTTAATTTGTAAGAAATGATATTTGTAATTTGTACCATTTGTTTGAAAAATCGCAATTTTTTTCGTCGTAAAAATGTTAATTCCAATTATGTCCGAAACTAAAGTAAAATAGTTATCTGAATTCCAAACAATTTCTAGAAAAACCAGAAACCATAATTTTTTGAGTTTCAAATAGAAAATTTTGGATAGGAATTAGCGGAAATCGAAAATCCATTCTACTCTCCCACTCCAATAGAAGTAATTAGACTAATTACTATGCACGAAATTCACGCCTAATAAAAATTTCTTATATGTCGTATATATTAATTAATTGATATAAAAAAATAATAAAACTATACAAGATGCTGCATATATATATATGACAACAATGTTTGACTCATTACTCCTCTATGGCCCTATGGGGGCAAAACTTATCGGGCAATAAATAAGAAGATAGAAAAAATATAGGTTGCTTGTTGTATTTGATGACTAATAAATACTCCTTCCGTTCCCTATTAAGTGTCGTTTTTAGCTTTGCACAAGGATTAAGAAGTTCAATAAATGTGTCTTGATTTTAGGTAAAATATAATAGATAGACTAAAATAACCTTGATTATTTAATGATGTGATAAGAGAGAGTTAATACTTATAGTTGAATTAATAAGGTTAAAACAGGAAAAAAAATGCATTTAATGCAGTATTGGAAATCTAAAGTGACAGATAATATGGAATAAAAATATTTTAAAAAAGAGACAATTATTGTGGAACAGAGGGAGTAATATTTATGGATGAAATATTAATTAGCTTACCAAAGGTGTGATTGTGCATACCAATTACAAGAGTCAACTCTAATAGGGACCCTCCGATAATTGATAATCATAAGACATTAGTCAATTACTATTAACCAATCAAATCAACTCGGGACCATTGCCAGCTGGCCTCCTAAATTATTTCATATTTTTCAATAATCGTTATTCATGGGATTAATATTATTTTTATTCCTATAACTTTAATTTTATGCACATGCACGTACAGTAGTTCTACCCATTCTCCACCATTTTTATTATATTTGTACAATTGGTTCAACATTATAAAGAGCTCTCCAAATAAGACTAAGTAATTTACCATTTATTTAATTTTCAGTCATTTTCTACGATGTTGCCACTTCTGTTTGACTGCAAATTTCTTGTTACCAGAAAAAGAAAATGTTAATGGCTCCTCAAGACCATACTAAGCTATGCGAATAAATTGTTAAATTATTAAATTATTAATTGTTGTTGTAGTGGTGAAATTATAAGTACAATATACAATGATTGGGATCAATTGAAATTATTAATTAATATCTCAAACAATATAATAATAAGTAATTTGATTAATTATTACTCAACAGTCTTCTTAAAAAAACAATGAAAAACATTGGGGGTCCAATCACAAATATTTAAAAACCCTAGGTCAATGCAGAAATATTATACAAATTGAAGTCCTACCTGGTTTTGAGCGGAGAGAAAACAGTGGTTGCTTTTGTTTGTTTCTTGACAGGAATAATGTAATGAAAAAACATCCTAAAAGAAATGCTATGTACTGTCAATAAAAAGAAGATTTTTTTTTTAGCTTCCCATGACAACACAAAACCCTAGATAAACTGTGAAAGTCTTCTTTTATCTGAAATTCTGAACTCCACCCCCCCCCCCCCCCCCAAAAAAACTTTTAGGGATGCCCCCTGCCGCTTCCCCCTGTCTAATCGAGCTTTAAGTTCCCAAATTATGTTTACATGGTTGATTGGTATTAAGAGCCCCTCCACCTCTAACTAGGATTGTGTTCGGGA